TTTAAGGATAGTGGGAGGGGAGGGGGAGACAGAACTGGAAAATTTTATCACAATTCTTATAAATGTATCAATATTTTCATTTTCCTTGAGAATAATATTTTTCAACCATTTCTTCAATTTTTGGTAAAAATGTATATCTCGGAAAAGTCGATAGCGTCGCCAAGGTTTTGACATCGTATATATATATTTATAAAAGGTGTATAAATAAAAAGCAAAAAAAAATTCAGGTAAACCAGATGTTAAAAGCCTATAATGGCGCCAATATTTATTATTCTTTGTTAGCCCATTAGAGAATTTCTTTACCTACAAAATGATATATTATAAATTTTTTTACTATAAATAGTTTTTTAGATATAAGCATTTTAACCAAAGTGGTTCTTTTTTGTACCTTTGAGCCCCTATATCTCGAGAACCAGGTGTGCTAGCGAGCTAAAATAAACGGCTTTCTCATTCTTTTACCTATCTAAATAATTCCAGAAATTTTTAACAATTTTTGAAGGGGTCGGCCGAAAAAGTGCTTTTTTTGATCGATTTGACATGGAATGACCCTAAAGCAGTAACTCCAACTACTATCTAAAATTGATTTGTTTCTCGTAATGTTTGGTCCTATATGTCTTTTATGCCTTTCTCAGAAATGTAGTCGAAGAGGGAGGCAGTGATCCTGCCAATTTTTAAAAAAATTTCGTGCCCTTTCCTGAAATTTTATTTCTATTGTTAGCAATGGCGTTAGTGTCATGACTGGGAAAAAATCTAGTGTAGCAAAGCGCTTTACACATTACATTCAACGATCATACTCTGAAGTTAGCAGTGTTCGGTGCTATAGAAAGTGTAACAGACGTTAATCACTTTGAAACCTTTTTTGACATCATATACAGTTTATATAGACAGTTTGACAAAAATCAAAAGGCATTGGGTCAAATAGCGTCTGAATTGATCATTCAGTTGCTGAATATTGGAAGGATAATTGTACGATAGATGTCTAGAAGTCTTCATACTGTTATTTGGAATAACTATGAAGCACTGTATACGCATTTTACAAATTCTAGCAACAATGCTAAGTTTAGCGGGCTGTCCACCTATTAGAAAGTGGTTATTTCTTATCAGTACTCGTCTTGATGTATGATCTATTTTATTTATCCAATCTACTGATTGTTCTTTGGGAAAGAACAATCAGTTTACCTGAAAAATCAATAAAGCAAATGCGTATTATAAAATCGTTTTAGGATATACTTGATAGGTTTTAATCTCTTATAATTTCTAAATGAATGTTTATTTAATATTTCGTCGCCTGAGATATCCACTTTTTGTCAAAAATGACTTTTTACATAAATCAATTTTTTTATAATTATACCATTTTTATTTGCATAAAAACCTCAAAATATTTATAAATTAAATTACAGTCAATATAAAGCTTGCCAGAAAACAATAAAAATTTAAATTTTAAAATTGCTCTCATGTAAAATTACAATATTGGAATAATCTAAACAGGCGATGATTTCTAAAGGAGAATATATGATATTATCGCAAGAAGCTAAAGGAAAACAGACGGCATTCTGGTATCAACGAAAATCACATTGCTGCCTTAATAGGCAATATGCAAAATAGGTTAATGGATGCTTATTCCAATAATTTAATAATTAAAAATACAATATTAAATTATACAGTTTTATCTATCTTCTCTGACATGGAATATTTAGATAATAATTGGCTAGCAGACCCTCTCATTTGTTTGAAGAACAAATTAAACAAATTTGTTTCCATCTGAAGCCCGATGTGAATCTCGCAATAAATGGGATGAGTAAATATATCGATGATAATAATGAAAGTAATAAATCTCTCCGTGATTTGAAATAGTTTTTAAATTGTATTGACCTAATTCTACGTAATACATATGAGCGCGGCTAACACCTTATGAATGTCTGACTGATTAGTCTTATGATAAAATATATTTCCAGTTTAATGATGATAAACGTTAACGGGCCCCCTCTCAATCAGGGGAATCCATATATTAAAAAGTGGCTGACAAGTCACAGGTCTGCAAACGATTCATTTAAGGAAGCGCGTAATTAATATTATTGAAATCGATTTGCTATGGCGAATATTATAGTTTATTTTCACCTTTTCTTGCATTCTCATATATGCATTTTATTATAATATAATTATTTTTATATTATTATGAAATGCATTTTAAAGAATCACGTCATAATTTTCAAAAAAAAATTGCCTCAAATTCTTGGGAAAACAAAAAAATTATCTATTTTTTGCCCATTTTAGCGTACCCCCTATTTTTTTGAGTAATAGCATGCCCTCACCTCAAATTTTAGGACTACTTCACTGGCTATTATGTTAACTTGAACCTTTAATGTTGAATTCAGAGACGTTCCAGTAGGCTATTATTATATTGCTAGATAACCTAGATGAGGATATCCATATTGTTAAAGCAAAACAAAAAATAATTATCTGTGTATGTAGTATTTTCTTTATACGAATTAGACGATAAATTGACAAACAGAACACTTATATATTTACAAATATGAAGGGAAAAAACATATTTTATATAGACACTAAAATATATATAAAAATAGTAATTCACAGAACTCCTCCCGGTTTAACAATCTGCTAACGGAGGTCCAACTGTCTAGTTGGTTCTCCTATTTACAGCTCGGGAGTTCTTATCTTCATTTAAGGGTCATCGGGGTGCATAGATTACTCAACGATTAAAAGAAATATTAAAATAATCACCATTTTGAAGTTTATATATATAATCCCGAGATAAGGGAATTATTTCGGACCCGGTGGTGGGGTTGTCCTCTGGTCTGAAGTGAACGCCTGTGGTCATAATGGCGCGGGAGTTATCATATGCTTCTCCTTTCCCCTGACTTTCAGGATCGGTCGGGGTCGAAATCCCGACGATGATTCTTTGGGTTTTGGATGTGGTTTTGACGTAATACACGACGAATCCTTGAACGTCTTTTATGATCTCTTTCTTCCACCGTGGGTTGGGTATATCTGTTGGTATTCGCACCCATACGAGATTTTCTTTATGTTAGTCTAGGGGTGTTACGAGGGTGGAGTGGGTGATATTGATTTTTTTCTCGAGGAGGTTTAACGGACGCCGGATATCAATCAGTAGATATTGTATTACTGGTGTTTGTTTTGTGGCCAGATGGGGAGTGTTTTCTAATAGCCTATTTGGAGTCAGTCAGTTGTGTTTGAATTTCGGTTGCAAAAAAATTCTCTTATTGCATTTAGTTACGATATGTCGGGGGTATCCCATATAAGTAAAAATGCCTTCGGGTAAGTTTGGAATGGCCAGGGATTTCTGGCCATTTGGAAAAACAATCCACTAATATTGACTAATTGTTTATGTAATGGTCCCGCGAGATCTCTCTGGGTATTTTTCTTGAATTGTTGACAATTTTCTCATATTTCGCTGATAGTCGTGAATCCCTGGTTAACTCTGGCCACAACATGCTTTCTGGCTGATTCTTTCATTTATACTATTTCCGGGTAACAACGGAATATCTTTTAATATCGAGAGCCTTTAGTTTCGGGGAATTTATAATCTGATTCCACGGACATTAATTCTCTAACTATCTACAATTCGTTCTGTATTTTTCTATATTCTTGAAATTCTAATATAGTTAACTTTGGGGGCCAACCGTTTCGGATGTTCTGTTTAATTTTTGAATTCAAACACAACAAATCAACTTCCTAATTGGCTATAGGAACACTCCCCACCACACAAAACAAATAGCGATACGATATCTAGGACATGATATCTGACGTCCGTTAACCTCCTTCAGGAAAAATCAATATCACACCCACCCACGGTGGGATAAGGTGACCTTGCAAGGATATGTCGTTTATACGCTAAAACACATCTAAAACCCAACTATTCATCGTCGGGATATCCAACCCCGACGGGATCCCAAAAGTCAGATGAAAGGTGAAGCATACAAAGATCCCGGTGCTATTATGACCACTTCTCACTTCACAACAGAGGACAACCTCGCTACAGGGTCCGATATCTATTCCCCAATTTTGCACCACCGATTCGTGACACTCACCTATCGTAACTCCCAACATAACCAAGGATCAAAACCCTACCCCAACACATAACTCATACAAACTCTAGATTCCGAGATCAATTATCTTAGGATTGCATAGATTTTAAATATAATGGTCAAAATTAATTTCCCCAAATGTAATCTTGCCTGAAAACAAAATTCTTATGGAATCGTCTAAATTGGAGTCTCTTAATTTTGATCTAAACACGATAATTCCTCATCCAAAATCTGTATAAAATGGAAGGGAGAAAAAAAATACACAAAAATTATCCATCATAACTTCCTTCCCCTTTAAAAAGATGGTCAAATAATGTGCAAAATATAAAAGTTCTGATTTTATTTTATAAATTTCATTACAAAAATTGATTTTAGTGTCCAAGATATAGCTATATGAAAGTAAGCGCGCAAATTCATTTTTTTGGGCCTAAGCCCGGCCCAAAATTTTTAATTAATAAATATATATTAAACGCATTTATGAATTAAAAATCACTAATTGTTTTTGTTTTGTCCTTATCACACTATTTATCAATTAATTCTGATAAAAAGATAAAACATTATTTTCCACATTATTTTTTTAATATTTTTCAAGCCCGCCACCCTACTTTTTTAAAAAAATTTGGGCCTGACCCTCTTTTTAAATTTTTGGACCCGAGTGTAAACCTTTTTTAGATGTAGATCCTTATACTATGACCTAACTTCTGAGATTAAATTCACTTTTATTATTTTTTGAAAATAATTTTCATATCAAGCCAAACCCTATCAATCTTAATCATAAGTAATTGACTCAATAAATTCTACTAATTCATTCCCCCCAACCCTATCATTCGAAAATTAACTACCTTTTTATGGCCTACAATTTCTTTTATTTTTATTCATCCTTTTCATTCATAAATCTCCACTAATTTATATATTGGTACTTTTAAAAATAAGAACACCCAAGATATCTTCTTAGAGTCATCCAACTCGGATCACAGCATATCTCACCAACTCACGCTGGAACGTCAATGCCGACAATCCTGGCGGACCCAAATAGTTTCAGATCTTAAATGTTCCTTGCTCTACGGATACTCCTACTTGCAAAAGAAATTTGAGAAAGTTAACTCTTCCGCAGGAGCCGTTACTCTTACGGCGCCTATCGATGACGTTTCGACATCCGTATCTACGGTACCCCCTTATGACCTTGATTCTCGGAACGGTAATTTATTATTATGTCGATTTATATAGCCTATACAATGTTATTAAAGTCACGTGATGATATGCTATTTATAATTTAAAAAATTCTCCAGGTAGCTCCAGCATTAGAGATAGGAGGAAAAAGAAATTGACTGGGGGTGGAGGGGAAAACAAAGCGCTTAAACATGACAAGATTTCTTTCAAAGGAGGAATTAAGAAAGCGAAACGCATTGTAGAGAAAAAGAGGACGATAGAAATGGAGAAGGATAAAATACAGAGCGGCGAAAACGTAGAGGTAATATATAATACAAATAAGAAATAAAAATAGCATTGCGAAATGACACCTTGCTCGCTTTTCTTTCCTCGGCATAGTCACCAAATTTTTTATACGATAAATGATGAGGTGTATTTGATATCAAAATTAATATTTTATACTACAACGTCTACACGATATCTATTTAAATATTGATATTGTGCATAATTTCAATTAAAAATTAATATTTTTATTTTATTTGCCGTTTTCAAATAGTAATTTATTATAATTGGTTCATGGTATTAATTTAGTAAACCAAGGATAGTTGTTTCTTTAGTTCAAATATTGAAAACTGCTATACTACTCTGTACCTTTACAAAATTTACCACCAATTACAATATAATTTTAGCACAAACTCCAAGTTGGCATTTTTACATATCGTTAAGTTTAGATTGATTTCCTAGCCTTGCTTGAAAACATGGTTGCTACATTCATAGATATTATCAACATTTGCACATATATCATATCAAGGAATACGAATAGATACTAGATTCATTCCTAAAATCGTAAAAAAATAAATGAATCAATAATATAACTAGCGCCGATGTAAAAATACTTCTTTTTATTATGTGACATGACCATTTTCTACATGTAATTATATCTCTTTATTTTAACCAAATTTTTTTTCCGTTGGTTTAATATTTAAATTTTTTTATTAATCAATTTAGATCTCGGAAAATATTAAAGTATTATCATAGAATAATAATATAGACGAAATTTTAAAATACCGATGGATGGAATTCAAGTTGGAATTTAAAATAAGTTGTAGAATGCCGAGTTATACTAAATGGGCTACAATAAATACAATATGAGCAGTATAAATTAAAGATAAGACTCACTTTTAATATTTCACAAGGGGTAGAAATCGCTGGAAAGACTATAAATGAAACGCCAGAATTAAGAAAATATTATATACGTGGGCTATATGCTTTACATATTATGTTAAAATGATTGAAAATAACTTTCGACACTCATTACGAAAAGCTATCCACACTATCGGCACCACATCGAGACACGCTCAGTAAAATTAAGCTCAATACTGATAAGGATATCAGATCTTCCGACTCAGGCATCCATAGAATTAGCACAAATCTAAGTCCTTTGTGTCCCAGCGTCAGTCCTCCATATAACGCCGATTCGGATGAGGCCAACGATAGCGATGGAAATAACACTTATCCTTCCCCACCTTCTGGATATGTGTTGGAAAAGGCTTTCCTCAAATTACCTATCATTTTCCTTAAATCTGGGTAATATTTATGTTTAAACAATTATAGTTGATAATTATTGAAAAACTAAATAAAGACTATATAATCCCTCCCCCCTTCGATATAATATAAACTTAACTATTTATTTTTTAATTCTTCTTAAAACTTTATGAAAAAATTTTTGAATATTATTTATTAATAAAATTATACATAGTCATTAATTTTAAATGGACATTATTTTAAGAAGAAAGATCGATATGAAAAACTTATGTTTTATAGGAGAATATTGATGTAAGTTATAAGAAATGGAAATTAAACAATTACCCTTTTTATTTGATAACAAATTATGAATTATCTCTCGTCTACAAAAAGCCACATACAGAAGACATTACATCCTCTAGTTCTCATCACCATTCTTCTCAGTAGAGTTTTTACAAAGCCTTAAATATTTATAATAGAATTAGTCTAAAAAAGAATTAAAATTTATTTAAGGACTATTTTTATTTTAAATCATGGCTTTTCCCCACACAAAAAATAATATTACTTCTAAAATTTAGTAAACAAAAATTAATAAACAGTAAATTATAAAAAGAAAAAAAAACTAATATTCTACTTTTATATTTAAAGAATAATTGAATAAAATAATATAAAAGCATTGTTTAAAAATCAATTATAATAATTATCGGGATAATTCAGTAAAGATATACAATAATGACTCAAATCTTAACTATCTAAAATACCAGATATATATCAAATATCATGTAAAAAGTTATACGGAAGGTCTTGTGATATGGAATTTCTCAATTTTTTTGAAAAATCAGATTTGACCGGAAATGTATTGAATTACGTATAGTGTACCAACAGTGTAAATTTTAGACAATCTTACCGTTAACTTTTGAACTAGAGTTAATTTATTTTCATTTTTATATCGATTTTTCAGAAAAATGCATAAATTTTAATGACAATAATTATCTAAAAGATATAGGGTAACGACTGTACATATGCTGTGATACATTTCCGTTCAAATTAAACTTTCCATGGATAAATATCGCTCTCGATAAATTCTTCTCCGTTTTATGCCGATTAAACGGAGAAGAAGAATTTATTGAGAGCGTGGTATATTAAATTGAGATACTCCATATCCCTATGGATTCCATATCTCATTACGACATATATACTTGAGTATGGAGAAAACATTTCACGTTCATTTGGTTGTATTGGGGGCTAATACGATATAAGGCAATCAAATTGATCAACTGCTGTTCTATTTATTCCAACGATCCAGTTATGTTTTCATTTAGTTGATAAGATTTAAATATCATTTTATTTTATCAACCACTCGACTTTAAGTAAGATTAGAACGGCTATCAACACTCCAAGTTTTAATCTTATGCAAATATAAAAGTAAAATTTTAACATGACATGGATCATCACTGTTTGTTGTTAAATAGATATAAAATGAAAATATGACTTGTTTTTGTAGATATTTTTCCGGAACATTTCGAAACATTATGTTCCATGCATTTATATCAAGTTCCATTCCCGAAATTCGAACGTTCCGTTCCAGCTTAAATTCAAAATCATAAGTCTCACTTCTCTTCAGTTCAATCATTTAATTTAATATATTACATTAATTTGGTTAAAAGTTTACTTACGATATTTTTTATTCTACTCCAACAAAACATTTTAAAATGCAGTCAAATCCTCAAAGCCATTATCGTTTATCGTTATCAATTGAGTTTGGTGGAAACCAAATATACGCAAAGCATTAGACAAGTTACTACTTTTTTATGCTCTATATTGATATTTACATTATATATTATTAAACTATTTATAACAAAAATATTTAAAAACTAGTTAATTAATCCCCGAATCTTTAAAAATAACTTTATTTTTTACTGTTTAAATGTAAATGTCATAATTATATATACAAAGAAATACGAGTTTTAAACTGGCCACTCAGGGGTAATAATATAATCAGGTCTTTAATTAATAACTAAGAACTTTTAAAGGTCATCCTACTAAAAGATAATAACTACTCTAACTACATATTTTGTCAAAAAATATCTAATTGAATAGGTGTTGTGTCGACAACTCATAGAAGTTATGATGAAGGGAGTCTGTCATTCTACCTACGTCCCTATACATTTATCCGATCGAACTCTTGAGAATGAACTGACTAATGATAAAAGTGATATATTCAATAGACTATCAGTCAATAGAAATTCATCTATCAAGGTAAGCAGATTTTTCGCTAATTATATAAAAGTTTAAATAAATATTAAGTCATGGTCCGGTATTTGTTATTACGCGAGCTGAAGCACAAATATTGGACTGCCATAATCCTAAAATAACCAATTTCAGTTTAAGAGACTGGTCTGTTGATCTTCACTATTCACCTCAACGTAGTATATACAAATGTTTTAAATCAAGATGTTCAGCTTTCTTTAAAATGAATATTTTTCTTACCAAATTACCTTTTAGGCTAATTCAATTTACATCTGAATAAAATGTGCAAAAATAATTCATAAAAGGCTGTAAAACTTTTGTTTTTAAATATTATGATAATTGAGATATTAATATATATTTTATAATCATGACAAAACGGAAAAATTTTATCCTTTTGTTTTACTTTTGCTTCGATTTTGGTTATGGAAATTTATAGGAAGTGGGAAGAACTTTATTAAATTAGTAAGAAGTACAACTTATCAAAAGAAACATTATATATAGATAAAAATATGGATATATTTGTTTTTTCTTCATTAACTAAATCGTTCTCCCTCATTATAGGATACCTCTTCTAAACAAACGCCTGCTGACGCTCTATCCCGCGCCTTCCATTTACTTACCCTCACTCCAACTTCAAGTTCATCCATGTCTTCCCTCACTCCCCTAACTCCCGGTTCTTTAAACCTGACCCTGAATCCTAAAAGCCATTTCAATTCTTTTCCTTCACTTTTTTCCCCGTCATTCCTCTTCGACGAACTTTTATTATTAGCTCTTATATGCCGGGCGCTTGCGAATTCGGCTGCAATCCTGAGTCTCGCACCTGAACATGAAGAGGCCCGGGTCGTATCCGCCGATGATGTGGCACGAGTAAACGACGCTCTCTCTCTGACGATCGGATTTGGGGCGGGGCCCGAGCCCAGTTGTTCTATTGGATTTGGAGGTAATGTTAATACTGTTCGATATTAATTATATGGAAAAAGAAGGAAAAGGGTAGAGACAGGCTTAAGAGGATAGATTTTGAAAAAATATATTATAAAATATAAAACGTAAAAGAGTCTCATAAATAGGGTGGGTTGTGCCGATCCACAATTACCTATCCCATATTCATACAAAACCATCCGATATTTAGATTGATTTTTATTTACATCTATCTTTGAACCAATTTTATAAAAAAAAATCAAAATTTTCTGTGCAAAGAATATAATGATTGTTAATTATGGGCAAATCCAAGATTTATTTAAATCAATATTTTTCTTTAAAAAAAAGTCAAAAATTATTTTAAAAAATGATTAAGGATTTTATATGGCCAAGACTTTAAACGTGGGGATTTGGAATACAATTTTTATACCTTCTTATTTATATGAAATATATATTTACATGAAAAAGTAAATATTAAACATTCTACAAATAAATCAAAATTATAATTTGAAAAGATAGGTCTCGTCATAAAGAGGAAAAAGAATTTTAATTGCACAATCGTAGTTACAGATAATGCATTAATACATGCTGAAAATAATGAATAATATTAATAGTAAATTCTCATTTAGGAAAAATTTTAACTTAGGCTTTTCATATATTTAATCTACTCTAAGGATTTAGAGGTAAAAAATGTAAAGGAATAAATATTCGAAGCATATTTAAGTAATCCGACAAAATATTGACAAGATAAATTACCAAAAACTATAAATATCAGCCTCAAAGGGTCTTTTAAAGATGCTAATTTATAAAATCTTTGAATTTATGATCGAACATGTGGTGATGGCTGGCACACCCGGTATTAATAATTAAACATCAAATCAGAAATGTTTAATAAAATAATTTTTTCGTCTTCCATCTTTAATAATCTCTCGGTTATGAAATCTTATAATAGAATTGGGATAAAGAAATACTCTTCTTCTATAGAAAGTATGTTTTTCTCTTTTGGCCTAGGTTAATTTAAAAGAAACAAGTTTGGACCAGGAAAGCTGAAAAATTAGTTTTTCTTCATAAATTTAATTTGTTATTATTGAAATTTACATTTTAAAGGAAATACTAGTTAGATTATGTGTTGTTTGCTAGTGTTACATATATAAAATCGAATAAATTGATTAAGAATTATTAGAAAATGCGACTAAATAATTTTTAATTGCTTATAGGTTTATATAATATTCAAAAGGTATTTATTTTGTATTATATACATGATATTTATTATCATGATATATCTATATAAAGGATATCTAAAACTAAAATAAAGATTATTAAAGCACAACCTAGTTATTACGGATTGATGTTTAAAGATGGCAAAAAATTATGGACAACTTTTAAAAATATTCTTGAATTTTTATTTACTACTATCCCGCTCCATATGGACAGCCTTTTAATTTTTAGCATTAATAAATCTATGTATTCCATAAAAAATTTAGCTTACAATAATTAAATTTTTGATTTTTTTTAGTTAGGTGGGCTGTCAATCATTTTGGTGTAGGAAAAGATAATGTAATATATAATTAAAAATAAAAATCAATATTTTAAAAAAATATCAGTGAGGAGCCTAGCCAATATTCGTAGGTATAAACTACTCGCTATTACCCTTGAACGTTCGGTCAAATTCAACCCAGACAAGTTTACTTTATATAAATAATTCTTAATATATATTTTTTATTTTCATATATTCATGATTTTTTTATAATTGAAATAAATTAGAGATGTGCTGATTTTCTACCATTACCCATATAATGCTAGGTATCGGACTGATATTACCGAATTTATGTACAAATTTACTGAAATAAAAAAAACATACATAACAAATATATTTTATTTTAATTCATCAATTTTTCTTAAAATATATAATAATAATAATATGAATTCTCGAAAGCCCTGTAAAATTTAAAAAACCCCACATTGATGGACCTTTTTAAAAAAATACAAAATTAAATATATCATGAAAATGATTTGAGATAAAGGCTGAGTGGCATTTTTTTGCAACCACGCATGGTAAAAGTCCCTGAGACAGTTTAGGTGGTGTTACTAACCGGTTAGTAGTTCGAGCAAGATTGCAACGCCCATATGAAAATCACACATTGACAACAATGGATTTATTTAACTATGCAAGAAATAATATCCATGGGGTAAATTATATATTTGTGAGCAATAATGAATATATTAATATGGAAGATCATCTTGAAAGCAGATTTTGAGAACTAAGAGAATTTCTGGAATACAAAAGTTCCATGCCCATAGGCGAAAACAAAATGAAAGTCAAAATTTAATAAAATTCTTTGGATGATTTAATATATTTTATATATAATTATTAATTTTTGATTGTATTATGCAATTATGCAATTTGAGACAAATAAAGTTATAAATATGTTTAGAATGATTTTGTCAAGTAATTTCGAGACAAAATTTGACTAAAGTGTTAAATAAAGTATATTATCCTAGCCACCTCTCAAAAATTTTGTTTTCCCAACCTCATAGACTTTCCATCCTAAGCTTATCATTCTTTTCATAACTATTAAAATATGATGATATTTATATTAAATTTGATTAATTTTAGCCATATAAAGAGTTATAACTCCTAGAGTCATGTTCATCTCAGTTTAGGAGTACAAATATAAAGCAATGTGTTATCCATGTAGAGGAAAAATATATCTTTTTTTCTATGGGTATTTCCGGTTTTATACATCGGGTTATCGATATTAATCAGATTTCTATTATAATTATTAAACGCCCATATCTTAGCCGGTAAGCAGTGTTAGGAGGTAAGATTTCATTTTTTTCTTAGTTATAGTATATACTACCATTTTGCAAAATTTAAGAAAAATTGAAAGGGGTCGGGTTGAAACTTTGGTTGATTTGATATGGAATTCACCATATCTTAGTATAATTTTTAAAAAATCAAATTATTAATATAAATTAACAAGTATAAATCATACACCTTATTATAATAAAAGAAAATACAGGGTTTCCTATTCAAAAAAGGAAAAGGTCCGATCAAAAAAGGAAAAGTGTCAAACCAAAAAAAGATCTAATCAAAAATAAAAGTGTCAAACAAATAAGGAAAAGGTCCAATCAAAAAAGGAAAAGCATCAATCAAAAAAGGAAAATTCCGATTCAAAAAAGAAATATCGTTATTTTTAGAAATAATTTTTTTTTCTTGTCAATTTTTCTTAAATTTTTATTATTCCTTCTTATTTTATTCCTAACTTTTTGCGATTATCCTTATTTTTCATATCTTTTCTCAATTTATTTTTCTTCTCATTTTTGTATTTTTAAAAATAATTTATTAATTTTCCCTGTTATTTTTCTTCACTTTTCTACTCCATTTTTTAACAATTCTTTTCTCTTTTTTCATCCTACATAACAATATTTTGAGCTTTTATGAATTTTTCTCCTTATAAAATAGATCTCTTTGACTATGTTCCATGCAATAGCATTATTAGAGTTAAATTAAGAATTAAAGATTGATTTTATTATGGGACAGTAAAATCATCTGCAATAGGAATTGGTAAATGAATAGGAGATAAGTCTTACTATATTGCTTTTAATACTTCAAGCAATTAGGTATATTATAACCATAAGTTTTCTCCATTCCAAAATAAGTGATTAGACATTTATAAATATTTATCTAATAGATTTATTTTTACCATAAACACTCATTCGATTTCCTTCACTATTGGATGAATATAAATTCTCATTAAAAATTAATTACCAATTAAAGATTTCACACATGGTACCAGTTTGCTCTATCACTTTACACTTCCGCCTTTTCCAACTCTACATGCTCACTCGACAACAATCATAATTTCCCTCTTTCATTTTCGGCTACCTTTAGCCATCAAAATGGCAACGAACATCGAGGAGGTGATATGTATAAAACCTTGAGAGCACTTGAAGAATGTCATAGAATGAGACCGAATAATATTACGGGTACAGATTAAAAATTTTAAGAAAAAAAATGAAATAATGTGGCATTAAAAAAATTATAAGAACTGGATGGGAGAGTTATAGATAACAATAAAGGGGAAGTGAGATAGAGCTCTACATTGCATATATACATGGATTTTGAAATATCGAAAAATTCTAATTTAATATTTTTATTATTTTTAGTTTTATTATTCCTTTCCAGAGTATGCCTCGAGGGACTTTCCGATATAGACAGAGGCATCGAATTCGCCTTGAAAGCCGTAGATTTGTGCCAGCAATACCATCAGCAACAACATACCCACCAACCATTTAACAACCGAAATTCTGATTTCTGCGAAGGAGGGTCTAACTCACTAAGCTCTGCTCGAACGTATAACGCTTTGGGGTTAGGTTATTTTTACAAATCCAAGATGGCAGATATAGCTTATTCTCATCCTCAAAGAATTAGATACTTACAGTTGGCCCTCGAAAATTTTAAAAAGTAATCCATTACGTAAAATTATCAAGGTGAACATTATTTGGCAAAAATATATATTACAACGACGAAAAAAGATAATGGTTATTACTTTACACAATACGCACCTCTTATCTTTTAGTAAATATATTTTTTTAAGTTAGTGCATTATATATTGCTATAATTATACAAGCATAAAATGATTAAGAATAGCTTAGAATCAAAAATTTTACTCAAATTAATAGAGTTGGCCTGATTAAATCAATTAATAAAAATCACTTTATAAATCAATTCTATTATTTGTTTGTATAATTTAAATGATTGTTAGTTTTTAGTTTAAATAAAAACATTTTATTATAACTCATTTAACTATATTTTACATATAAGTTTTAACTAATTACTAAAAAAATTTATTATAAGGACCTTATATGCTGTGATAACCTTCTGAAATTTTTTTTTGATATAATAAACTAAATTCCTATAAAACTTGAATTCAATGAGATATAAAAAATATCTAATTATTTCTACCCTGTTTGGTAAATATTGATCTAACATTTTGTAAGTAATTTTAATTTATATGAAAATCAGGGTGTCGAACCGAATCACGAAACAGGAAACTCGATATAATTTTCTAAACCGGTTCTTAACGGTTTACAAATTTTATTTTAAATGATTGCCATAATTTATAAATTAGTACAAATTTATATGTGGTTATATGTCACTTAATTTATTATTTCTTATGGATGTTTTATAATAAAATAAGGAAATTAAACATATTTTTATTAGATTGTTAGTTGTCAACAAAATAGTATACATGATTAATCTTTAAAATTTACAAAAAAAATCGCAACTAACCGATATTAATCTGTTGTAAAATAACCGAAATTGAAATTAGCTAAAAGCCGGAATTACCTATTGATCTGATACCCAGATAAAATATAAAAATAAAATAGTCTCATTCTTAACATTGAAATTAATTTTGCCAAAATTTTTAGCAAAAAATTTTTGAAGATCAAATAAATTGAAGATATTTTCGTAAAAAAATAATTTTGAGCACGCTCAAAGAAGATTTTTGAGAAAATGAAAAATTTTTTTGTAAAAAATCTTCTTTGGGCATGTTCAAAATTTTTTTTACAAAAATATAATACTGGAAAAAATTTTTTAATTTTTTTTTACAAAAAAATCTTCAAATTGTTTGATCTTCAAAAGAGCAAGGATATTTGAATTTTGAGCTAATGTTAAACCTTGCCTTAATAAAATATTGCTACTTACTTTAACAAGGTTTATTCATAAATTCTACCAGAAAAATGTTTAATATAATAAAAATGAATGCAATAAATTTTCCTCGGGGGAATATTTTCCTACAGGTTATATTTTTTAAGATTATTTTAATAATTTCTATAGAATATAATATAGATATTAAATCGTGATTTAAATCAATTTTTTATTTTTATAAAAAATATGTTGCTCACACATAAAACTTTATCATTTTTTTGCTAAGGTATATAATAAGCTAGAGAACTATAGGTGGTCTACAAAGCTTAGCCCATTAAGAATTTTTGGTAAATTACCCCACCCGTTATAATTTTTTAAAAAAAACTAAACTATAATTTAATCAGAACTTTAGGTCATCAGGACTAAGTCATAGGGATGGATTGTTAAATATTTTTTGTAAAAATATCTCGACAAGAGTATTACGTGAAAGCTAATTATTCATCGTTATCGTCATTCTATGCCTTAAGAGTGGAGGATGGGGGGGGGGGGGTAAAATATTTTTTTATATAATATTTCGAAAAAGAGCATTCCGGAAAAAATTCGGAAATACGCCTTAGTTCTCATTCCATAATTCTTTGCAAGTTCCGAACCCTGAATTATCCTTGATTTTTTAAAAAAATTTTATCACAGAGCTCTGAACATAGACCCCCAAAATTTGGATTTCGCATTCAACTTAGCTCTACAGCACGCGATATTGAGGCAATTGCCTCAAGCCACCAAACTGGCGGAGCTTTGTCTAGTCACCGAATTGAATCATTTCCAGGCTTGCCATTTGTTGATTTTACTTAAAACAGCGCCTTCTTTCCCTCGTTCCACTTTAGCGCCAAGATTTTTAAAAGTTTTCATATTTCGATAAATTCTGTAAGCATTAATAATTTTTGGTTAAAAACAAAAATACACCGCTACCATCTTTTTTTATCCGATACCTATATTAATTAACGGTATCCGCCGATGCTAAAAAATAATAATGTAGTATATATTATTGTGAGAAAAAAGATATATTTTATCCAATATTTTTATTTTATACTAAATGATTTATTATATATATGTAAATTTAATTTAAAGTAAAACTAATAGTAATAGGAAGAAAAAAATTAATAGCACCTTTTTCTTTTTTATCGGTTTAAAAATTTGCATATGATTATTTTTATTTATAAATTCATAGCTTAGTATAGAATAAAAAAGAATCATTTTTTTAATTTATGAAGATCTTATTGTATCGATCGTCCTCTGATTTTCGGCTAAAATTGAAATTATTGGCCTATACCAAAAATATTAAATTATAAATTAATGATTGAATGATCTCTATGATATATCCATACTTGAGTGATTAAAGTTCTAAATTATGCTTAATCTACCCTTTATAAGAACTACCCCCCCCCCCACATTCATTCATTGGCTTTATATGATTTGACAGATATTTCCGACTACCCTTACGTAAATGAAAATATAAAAAGGTTTAAGTAAAATTAACATGAAATATCTTTACAATGACTAAATAAAATTGTAGAACAAATATTAAAATAATATCATTATTTTATTTTGTCCAAGCAAAAAAATAATAACTCAGCTGGCTATGAAACGAATCCTTTGTTAGACGATTTACGGAGGGGACAGGACGAAAAGCATAATCTAAAACAGGCACTAGAATTGGTTGATTCCCTCATACAACAGTGCCCTAAAAATTTTAAGTTTATATAATTTTTTCTACTAGAATATTTATTCTTATGATAATACCGAATTCATCAAATCTTTGTAACATAATTGTTTATTTAAAGTCTATTGGTAGGGTTGGCCAAATGAAGTTTTATATATTTAAATCGCTATTTCAATCAAATACTAATATTTTAATTAGAGAATTAATTTAGATTGAAAAATATCATTAATAAAAATTTGCCCAGTATAATATTACCTTGCATGTAATTGAATAATATTCAAGAGACTTTGTGAGAAAATTGTTCAAAAATACATATTGATGACATGATCTGATTTGATATTTTGTCAAATAAAGATTCCATGAAACGTGTCTGTATATACATATTGTTTTTTAGAACAACTAGTCGAGATTTCTATTTTCGTCGAAAAGAAGATCCTAGTTAAGATTTTTTTCTAAAACGAATACTAGTCTCTGAATTCCCTAATTCAAACAAATTAACTGCCAAACCTATTTATAATTTTAATTTCTTGACTATTGATCAATAAAATAAAATGATGGGGGTTTTATTTTGTAACTGTTATTTTCCAATTAAGTGTCCAAATGTATTAGCCTTATTTATAGCGCTAAAGGTAATATTTGTTCATTCATTAATACCTGTCGTTTTCAAAAATCTTGATTATGAGTTTTGTGTTAATTGCTTGATGTATCCCTAAAATCAAGAAATTTAAGAACCCTTACCTTTTCTATTAGAAGTTAGTTTTTAAATTAAATATGCTTTAACCAATAAAATGACAGTAATTTTTTCTATGGAATCACTTGTTTATAAAAAATTATTATACAAATAAAATAAGCAAGATAATAATTTTTTATACCTTCATCGACACATTTCTTATCCTATCTTCTAAACAAGAAATATTTTTTTAATTTATGAACTAATGAGATTGAAGCGGCAATCGATTGTAGCTAATTTTATACCCTAACACCAATTTATTATCTATCCAACTAAAAATCCTAGCCAGATCTGACCCATTATATAAAATATGTTTTGAGATGAAATAATTATTATAGTAAATTATTGAATAATGGTTAGTACCAGGATCATCTAATTTGCAAATATTTACATCGTATTCATCATCAGCTTCATTAGAAGGAGTGTTTTTATCATTCGAAATATATTCCAAATAAACTTAGGAATGATAGGAAAAATAGTTTAACAATTAAATTCAAATACCAATGTCTGATATTTGCGATTGAATAGAATATTATTATTGGAATCTTATTTTTTTAATTTAACAAACTGATTTTTTTTGTGTTAAAAAATATTTATAGCTTTACATAGAGATTAACAATATAATATAGAAAAAATATTATAGACAAATGTTTAGTGGGTTTATAATTTAAATCTTCGAATATTTAGTGATTTCTCACTACATTGAAACTAAAATTAACAATTATTTTATACTTAATATCGAAAATTTAAATAAAGAAAATTTAAAAGTTAGTATTTATATTTTAAAAAGTTAAATTTTGGACTAATCAGTGTCTATTTCTTTCAACTTATTAAGTATTTTGAACAGAATAAGTAAAATCATATTAAAATATTGATTTAAATCGAGGTGATTTTAATCAAATTGATTTTTATTAGCGCAATTCTACCTATTAGCCAGGTGTCAGGTGTAATTCGCTAGAATGGCATTACTTAATTTCTTAAAATATTGGTTTTCCCCACATCCCCTCTTAAATCTAAGAAAGGTAGTTTTTACTTATCCTATACGTAAAAAAAAGATTGTAGTGAATTTTTTATCATTTTATTTTTACTGCATAGGCTATTCTCTTATTATTTTCGCAAATACATTATTAAAATGAAATATCTCTTGTATTAATAACCGATTTTTTTTATTTTTAGAGAAGAGATTGAAAATTTATAAAATGTCATTCCCCATTAATTTAATAATCCCTTTTTTCGCTTTATGAAATTAGCTTATACTTCACCAAAGCTGAAATAGAAGGTAAACATTTCGGTTATGAGACGGCGCTCATGACATATAGAGCCATGCTCAATATTTGGAAGGAAATGAGAGACAGATATATCGAAAGGTTAAATATTATATTCTTAATTTTGAGATATCAAAAGATTCTGAGTGTAACTCAATCAAGTTTATAGATTTTTTAAAAAAATTTAATCAATAAAATACAAAAAGTGAGTTAAATAATGATAGGCTCCATATACGCGTTATGCAATGGGACTTGAAAATCGCTTTTAATTTATTTTCACTCTTGGATCACCGTGAATTTTTTTAAGACTTTTCGCTAGAACCACGATTTGTATCGATGGGCACGAATATAAAATTGTTTAAACCAATGTATTCTCATTTGAGTCCAGCTCTTAATATTGGAGATCCTTTTAAAAGGATATATAAAGAGGTTCTAAAAGCCTCTAGCTAATAAGATTTCATTTCCATAGAATCATGCCAACGTATCTGATATTATTTATGTCAAGACCAGTAAGTATAGACGTACGGAATGATTGATATCAATGACCATTTGAAAGGATGAAGGTATGTTGGCGGAGTGAAAGGTCTGATTATAATTTCACGTGATGTCAATTATATCGGCTTTTAAAATCGCATTGAAGAAATGTTGACGGAGGCTATCGATTTTAGTGTAATAGCTATTGTTAAGTCTGATTATCTCGCCTTTTAGCTCGATACCCATGGCAATTTTAAGTTCTTCGTTATCTATAACCCAATATTTGAACTTGGAATAGCTTCAACTCATTCATCGTTTTTTTTTGTGTGGAGGCAAAATTTGAGGGTTATAGCTTTATGGAGTTAAAATGAGGTTAAGCAATTGTTTAACATTTCGTAATTGAGACTTTATGAAGTAAAAAAACTATACCAAATCATCCATATTTAAAAGGCGTCAATGCCTGCAACTAGTGTTGTTAAAGACCTTTATTTGTACCGATTTTTAAGCGGCTAACTCAATATTTTATTCAGAAAAATATTACGCTAACCTAAAGATTCAGCTCATAGATGGCACAAAGGTCTAGACATCTATTAGCGAAATCTCAAGGTTTAGGCAATATTTTTCTACCTAAAATATTGAGTTAGCCGTTTTTAAAAATCGGCTCAAAACGAGTTATTACAACACTACCTGCAACCATAATATGGGGAAATTTAAGCTTGAATGGTGACTCTAAGACATCTTTAAACGAAATCCAATAAGATATATTGGGTTCTCCTCTCATAGAAATTGGAAAAAAGAAAAATTAAATCAAGTAACAAAGAATAAAAAAGAAACGTTAAATTTATTTATGATGACAGCATAAAAATGTTTTTATTTATATCTAGAGAATCCGAATATTATAATTTAGTCAAAAAATGGGAACAACGATCTAAAGTTGACGTTTATGAAAAGGAAACAAGTTAAATGCGAGTTTTATTCATATTAAATTGAATTACTATTAATCTTTCGTATTCTTTCATTTTTAATGAGAAATCTTCTTATTGGAATTTATTAGATGCTTCTCTTTACGGCGGAGGAACCTTATCATTTAGTAAACCTATGGACCTAGCGGCTACTTCTGAAATGATATCATTGACGAACACGCAACAAAGCAACGATAGTTTTAGATCTCACCATATGAGTAACTTTCAAGCTATACAGTTTCACGTTTGGCTTAAAATAGGTTTTTTTTTAAATCTTCCATTTAAAATTATACTCATGTTCGTTTACACCTGACTGAACGCGGGGTATGACTGCTAATTTGCAGGGATGTGAACCCTTCGACAAAAAAAAAGGGTCCGGGTTTGGGTCTGGTAATAAATTTAAAAAGGACCTGGGTCCGGGTTCAGAGGAAACATAAAAATAATGACATTCGAAATGAGATAATTTATATTTTAAAATTTTATTCAATCGCACAATCATGATATCTTCTAAAATATCATCCTTCAGATTTCCACGTAAATTAGACAAAATATATTTCAACGATGAAAATCCACGTTCTACGCTTACCTAAAATAGATAGTCATTTTTATAATACATAAATTATTGTACATGTGTCGCCGGTACAGCCATGACGATTCTAGACAAGGTATATAATTCTGGATATATTGAAGAATTTTCCTCCCAGAATTTTAAAATGTTTGCATCTCTATTTATTCTCATAACTTCCGAGAACTTTTCTATTAAAGATACAATAGATATTTTTTGCTCCTTTCTATCAGATGATAATTTAATTTTTTTTCTCTATCTAATAGTAAAATTTCCAGATCATCAATATCGTTATCATTATCATTGTTATCGCTACAACCAGTAGATATTGTTGTAACCTCCAATATATTGTAAATAATAGAGTTTTGGGTATGCCATAAATCTTTAAGATGGACTATAGCCATATGTTTTTGCTCACTACTTAATAAAACCTGATATCGCGGGTCTAAATATATCGAAGCATAACAACACTATTTTGTAAATATTGTTGCTCTCTTATTTTCGTATTTTCTAATACTTCATTTGAAAAAGAACTTGTTAATCTCCCTAACTCTAATCGACATCTTAACCATATGCCATAAAAATCCGATAAACATAATTGTTCTGCTTGCACTCTTAATGTTGTTATTTTTAAAGGAACCAGCACACTAGTAAGCTCTTTTACTTGATTCCAATCATCTTCTGACAAAATGATTTCACATCTCCTATGATTAAATCATTACAGAAATCTTTCTAACTTAATAATCGCTCTAGCATCATACATATAGAGGACCAACGTGTTGTGCAATCTAAAATTGCCATTTGCCTTTTCATGGATTTTAATATTCTAACAATTGTGGGAGTTCTTAAATATTTTACAACATCCCTTGATTTATCAATTATAGTTTTAAACTGACTATTTTTTAGGGAGATTCCACGAAAAAAATTAATAAAATTATAAAAATTTTATATTATTTTTTTTAAAATTAATTTAACACCCTGAACCCTTGGACCCTCCACTTTTTAAAAGGGTCCGGGTCCGGGTTCAGCCAAAATACGAGGGTCCAGGAGGGTTCGGGTCCGGGTTCACATCCCTGCTAATTTGATACTTTAAGACCTTGGGCAATTTCTTTTAATATTGCTATTTACATATTCTTTTATGGTATTGAAACTCTTCTATGTAGTTTGATAAATTAATAATTTCCAATGTTATATTCATAGACGTATCCAAGATTTCTTATAGAGGGAGGGTGGGTTTCGCATAAATTTTATCAGAGGTTTTTAGGTACACTTATTAGAATTTTGGGTTTTCACTTTTTTTATATATAAGTACTTTTCTAAAAAAATTTGCTCTTAGGTACACTTATTATTATTTTGGGTTTTCACTTTTTTCTATATAATTACTTTTCTAAAAAATTTTGCTCTTTTCATTTATTGTTTATAGTGATATATTGGAAATCGGAGGGGGATATTGGCATAAAATGATATTTAAGAGAACAGGCTAATTACCGATAGGGGGAAGGAAATTTCCCACGCGCCTGGCTTTGAATCTTTCGAGTCGATAAGTAATTTTTTAACTGCAAGCAGAGCAAGGTTTACTCGAATTATTTTTAACTACAGTGTTTTTCTGCACCAGAATACTGTCATCAACGTATATCGAATTTAGTTTTAAAATATATATTTTATTTTATACACTATATCTTTTATAAATATTTATTTACAACAAATAAAATATAAGGGTCAACTATTTTTTAGTTAGGTTGCCAAATAGTTTAATTATTAAGGATAGAAAAATCAAAGCAAAAAAATTAACGAAAATTTTTAAATAGAAGGACAAGAAAAAAAACAATGCCACCATCATCACGGGAACAATGGAAAAAATTTTTTAAATAACAAATATATCAGTTAATTTATTTTCTTATTTTTTTCACTCTTTAAATTAAAATGTGCTGCCATATAAATCGCATCATGTGTACGACAACCTTTTATTGCTAGAGCAAAGGGAAAATATTGGAATTTATAACTGTAAATTTTAATCAAAGCACATTTTTTCTTCAAGTAGCAGCAGACTAGAGGATCATAATATAAATTGTGTAAGAATGATAAATGCTCGAACAAAAAGTGATTATATTTTACTTCTAACAACATCATGTAAGCACTCACTCCCTACCATCTTGTTCTTAAAATAAATCCAACCAATTTATAATAATTATATTTGAAATTTCAATTTACCTTTTTATCTAATAATTTATGTTTATCATATACTACAGCTCAATTGTATATGGATCAACAGCTTTTAGAAGACGCTTACATGGCAATCAAAGAAGCGGAAGAAATTTCTAGAACCTCTCATCATATTTTAGACATGGTAAAAGAAGCAAATTTCAAATAATTACCCTAATTGTGATTTGTTTCTAAAATATTACTAGAATTTTGTAGTATTTTTCCGGTCCTGTCCTAAAAACGTTTTCTCGTAAAACGCGTCCGGTTTAAAAAAGGACCGATTTTTTTTTATTCTTAAATATTACAATATATTTTTTTTCTCCCAAAAAATAATTATAACAAATATCTTTTAAACACGCTCCATTAAATCCTTTATTTTCTGAAAATCAACGTATTATTTTTTCAAATTTGAATCATTTTTAGGTGGCATTTATAAATTTTTAAAAAAATCTTATTTTAGCGGAAGTATATTCCAACATATGAGGATACCTACCCTATGATCAGATAATTTTACCATTAACTTTATCGTAATTTATATAAAGACATATATGAAGTTCATGGCAAAATTTTCTAAAAATTATAGAGTAGGTATTCTACATAACATGGCATGGTTCTTTAAAAACGACCATTTTTAAAACAGGGCTAATCAATATTATAAAAATATTGCCTGATTTCGAGGTTTCGCCAAAAAAATCGAAGTTTTTAACAATTGCATGGTGGAATTCAGTTTAGATATCAGATTTTTTTTTTTAAAAAAAAAAGGAATTTTTACAGTTTGTGCAAAATATGATATAATTTTCGTATTTCTATCTTTTTTTAGGAGGACACAACTAAATATTCATGATGCCCTACTCTTTACTTATTTAAATAAATTTTTGAACACACATCAGTATTTATTTGAGTTGGCTATAGGCTTACATGTTACACATTAGTCAAATTGCCAATATTTTTAAAGCACTCTTCTATATCAATTTTTATTTATTATATTTAAAAGTGGGGTAAATTTTATATGTGCCTCGACGATGCTCAGACCGCCAAGGAGTATTTCGAAAGTTCTCTATCAATCAACCCTAATTTTGTGGACGCCTTACAAGATTTAGTTTAAATTTTAATTGATATTTTATTCCTATAGGCTTTAATTAAATCAGAAATCTACAGATGTCGAAATTTCAGGTTTAGTCTGAATAAAAAAAATTATTTCCAAGCTCAACTTAAATTTTTTTGAACCAGCCAGAATTCTTATTTTTGATCATTACGACCATGCCCACAACTTTTTGAACCTTGTTATTTCGAATAATTTTGTCTATATTTTGATCAGAGGGAAATTGAAAATATAAATAGCAGAAAATGATTATTAGACGTTCCATTATGATTAACCAACAGTTTATTTGATATGAAATTTTTTTAAAATTTAATCAAATTTTTAAGCCCATAGCCCTGATATTTTTCATACTATTTTTTGGCTCGGGCCGAGTTCCTGATATTCAGGCCCCTTATTACATTATATTAGCTATTATTTTTATATATCTTATCGGCAATGTATATATCCGACAAAATCAAACCGCACTTAAAAAACCCTTTTAAATAAATGATTTAAAGTTATAAATTTTAAATATGATTATTTGATTTTATCAAATATGTATTCAAGTATGTGTAAAATACCTATCCCATAAATTTTAGAGAATTTGATCACAGGATCTATTTAGTAATTTTAAATTTAAATACTAAAATTACATGGATTGACTGAAATATTAGCCAAAATTGTCGGTAACATATATACTATCTCACTTCAATGATATTCAACCACCCTTGTTTTTTATCATATATTAAGGTCCTAATTAATAAAAATATATATATGATATTAATTTATATTAAAATTTATTTTTATAATTATAAGAAAAATATAAGCCTTTTGTCACCTTATGCATAAATATCCGCCCACTACGCTAAGATTAGTGTTGTTAATTGGTTGGTTGTGTAAAACCCAGACCCGGGGTTAGGGTCTACTAAGCACGAACCCCGAGCACAGTCCCGGGCTTAAAACCCATGGTTCTGATGAATAATGCAAGCGTTTTTTTCTACCTTTCTGAAGTCAAAATATATACATTTTTACTATAAGCTCTTTTTAGAGCCATCGATATTCCCATAATTTATATTTTATTAATATATTTTTTTTTAAAAATTGTTATTTTAATATATTTTAAGAATAAAAAAAAAAAAAATTTTACACTAATTAATAATAAAACTTCAAAAATATAAAAATACTTAATTTATTTTTAAAATTATAATTAAAGTTAAATTTAATAAAAAAAATATTTTCTTAAAAATCTTTTTATCTAAATAACTAAAAAAAATAATAATTAATAAACAACTTCAAAAATATTTAAAAAAATGCATGTGACTTTTCCATTTTTCATCACAAATTATAAATTTACAACATAATTTCTTTTTATTATTTAAACATGCATAACATTTAATCTTTATTTTTTGTCCATATTTAATTTCAATATGTATTAAATTAAAATAAAATCTTACTTTGTTTACCCCCTTTTATTTATTGTATATTTAAAAATAATAATAATACTCATTTCCCTTCACTGTATTCGGAAGTTATGAGGGGGAGAAATTTGTTTGTAAAAAATAATTATTCATATTGTTAAAAAATTAAAAGAAATATTTTTTTTTATTTATTAATTTTTAATTATATATATTATTTAAAAAAAAGAACGGTCACTGTTGTAGTCAGGCTTGTTAATCGATCCTTTTAAAAAGATCGAATCTCACGATCTTTTCAAAAAAGGAGGATCGAAATCCAGGATCGACTTTTTTTTAAAAAATGGATCACGATCCTTTTCTTTTTAAAAAAAATTGTTAGATGCTGATACATTTACAAATGTATCTCGAACAGGAACTGAGTTAAAAAATTTATTGAGTTGATATCACATCTATATTTTAGATTTTAAAATCATGTACAAATATATAATTTAATTTTTTTATCACATAAGAAAACGTGGGATCTTATTCAAAAAATTAGCTACAGATTCTTAATTTTATTATTAAAAAAACGAAAATAAAAATTATTTTTTAATTAAGATCATTAGGAAATACTCGTCCTCTAGTTGATGAAATTAAACAAATCCGGCCAGAAAGTTCTATCTAAGAACTAGGATCAGGATGGTATAGCTGAAAATAATGGTTCCATGTCAATTCAGCGAAACTTTTATCGCGAATGAATTTTATAGCGAAACTTTTATCGCGAATCCACATTAGCGAATACTTTTCCGCGAAAACAATATAGCGAAACAAATATCGCAAATTTTTTATAGCGAAACCTTTAATGCCAATACATTAGAGCGAAATTTTTATCGCGAAAAGTTTATAGCGAAGTCAATATCGCGAAACATAAATCACGAAGACAATATAGCGAAAACTATCTCGCGAAATATAACGCGGCTTATTATTATTTTTTTATTTTATTTATATTTAATGTTAATATTTTATTTATCAACAAATAAACATATTATATGATATATATTTTTTATTTATATTATTATATTATGAAATGAAATGAAAAATAGATTTCTTTTATTTGATATTTTTTTAATAAAAAAAATGATATGCTACTATTGTAATATTTTTGTTACAGTTTATTAGTGATTTTCAGGCCCAAAATTTTAAGCAAAAAATATTAAGTACAAAAAGATTTTTAAACATATTTTGATAAAAATTTTAAATCTTTTTTGAGGAATTCTTTTGTGAATTTTATTATAAATAAACAATCTTTTAGGTGAAATCTTTTATAGATTTTTTTATCATTTTTGTAAAATTATCTATTTTTTAGGTATATTAAAAGAGGTGGGTTTTCTAAATAATATTTATTAAAAATATTTTTATTTAACTTATTTATGTATATGATCTTTTTAAGGAAAATAATTTAATCTGACAATTTTTATTTTCATTATTGAAGATGTTCCTTGGAAAAATGACAATTATCATAGTATTTTTAAACATATTAAATTTTCTTTAACGGTAATATATATTTTTAACATGTTAAATTAAAACTTTAATTAAGATGCACCATATAAAAGTGGCAATTATCATAATCCTTATTTTTAAAGTTTTTTAATTTTTTTTTGACGTAAATCGGTTAAAATAAGTATTGTTAACATGTATTAATAAAACTTCAGTGAAGATGCACCCTAGATAAGTGACAATTGTCATAATCTTTATTTTTAAAGTTTTTTGAATTATTTTGATGCAAATGGGTAAAAATATATATTGTAAACTTGTTAAATTAAAATTTCTTGAAGATGTACCACAGAAAAGTGACAATTGTAATAATCGTTATCCTTTTTTGACGTATATGGGCCAAAATAAGTATTGATAACATGTTTAAATAAAACTTCAGTGAAGATGTTCATAAGATAATGACAATTGTCATAATCATTTTTAAAGTTTTTTGAATTTTTTTGACGCAAATGGGCAAAAAATAAATTGCTAACATGTTTAAATTAAACTTCAGTGAAGTTGTACCATAGATAAGTGACAATTGTCATAATCGTTATTTTTAAAGTTTTCTGAATTTTTTTGAAGCAAATGGGCAAAATAGAAATTGCTAACATGTTAAAATAAAATATCAATGAAGATGTACCATAAATAAGTAACGTATAATCGTTGTTTCTAAAGTTTTTTGAAATTTTTTGATACAAAAGGGTAAAAATATAGATTGTAAAAATGGCAAATTAAAATTTATGAAGATGTACCATATAAAAGTAAACAATTGTCATAATCGTTATTTTTAAAAGTTTTTAAATTTTTTTGAAGCAAATGGGCTAAAATATAAATTGCTATCATGTTAAAATAATATTTCAGTGAAGATGTACCCTAGATAAGTGACAATAGTCATCATCGTTATTTTTAAAGTTCTTGAATTGTTTGACGCAATTGGACAAAAATATAAATTGTTAACATGTTAAAATAAAATTTCAGTCCGAACAAAAAAACAAATCGATATTTTCATTCTCATAATCGTTGCTCCTTTTATCCTGCTTAAAATTTGAATAAAATATGCAAAGATAGTTGTAATGTAACCTATGTTAAATTCTAAACTTTTAAGATATGGATTCACAATCTTATTCCTTTAATTAATAAATTTTAATTCTACATTATAAAAATGTATAACCTTGCATTCACAGTTAGCAAATATTTTTGTATACTCGTGGCAAAATAGTGCTGAGTCTGAATTCAAGGTAGGATTTTTATATAAAGAACTTAAAAACCATATGAATATTATTTAGTAATATGATAGAATCAACATCCTCTAAATTTAATTTTAACATTTTATTATGGTTAAAATGGATTACAATCTATATTTTAACCCATTTACATCAAAGAACTTTAAAAATAACGATTTTAATAACTTTTCAATGGTATATCTTCATGAAATTTTAATTTAGCATGTTTACAATCTATATTTTTACCCATTTGCAACAAAAAATTCAGAAAAACCTTATTAACAACGATTATGATAATTGTAACTTATCTATGTACATCTTCACTGAAATTTTATTTTAGCATGTAAGCAATTTATATTTTTGCCCATTTGCGTCTAAAAAATTCAAATAATTTTAAAAATAACGATTATGACAATTGTCACCTTTCTATGGTGCATCCTCATGAAATTTTAATTTAATATATTTACAAACTATACTTTTACCCATTTGCGTCAAAAAAATTACAATTGTCACTTATCTAGGATACATTTTCATTGAAATTTTATTAACCTGTTAGCAATATTTATTTTAGCCCATTTCCATCAAAAAAAGTTATAAAATAACGATTATGTATTTGTCACTTTTTCATGGTACATCTTCATGAAATTCTAATTTAACATGTTTATAATCTATATTTTTATCCATTTGCTTTAAAAAAATAGCGATTTTGACAATTGTAACTTATCTCGGGTACATCTTCACTGAAGTTTTATTTAAATATGTTATCAATACTTATTTTGGCCCATTTACGTCAAAAAAAGTTTAAAAATAATGATTATAATAATTGTCACTTATCTAGGGTACATCTTCACTGAAGCTTTATTTA